CAGAAACTTCTCCATGGTGCAGGACATAGGACTACAAGCCGATTAAAGTCTACATTTGCTCCTAAATCCACAAAGGTTCGAAACTTTCTAGAAAAAATTCAAAATTGAAAAAGAATCAGTTGATTTACAAATTGAAAAATGCATGAAAACGAGGAAACAGAACTCGCGAGTATGGTGGCTCATCTTCAAATCTTTCGAATGTGATAAAAGGAGAAGAGAGGCATATATGTAGAGCGTTCGGGACTTGATTGTGGATGATGATGTCTGTACAAATCTCATAACCAAAAACTAAAAACTTAGTAATACTTAACAGAAATTGAAGATGCTAACAAGTTAGAGGATAACATAGAGAGCAGCTACTATATGCGATCTGCAATTAGAAACCTTCGGGAAGTTTCTCCTGGCCAAGTATAGAACAACCAATAGTGAAGGCACCATCATTAACACAATTATTTCATAAACCTCCGTAATTTATGTGTTTTTTTTGTAGTATAATGCAAGCACTACTAGGACTCGATAAATAGAAATATTTCTTTCTAACTTAATCAACATTCACAATATAGTTCTAGGGTTTTGAGAGTTTAGTTTTTGGAGGAAAATTTGTGAACCTCCTTATATTCAGAGTGAATATTGGTTGAGGTTATTTGTTTCTATATTTTATACTCTCATATTTATAGTAGATTGATCATCTCTTTTGTGGGATATAAGTTGATTAGCCGGACAACGTTAAATTTTTGTGTCTTTGATATATTTTTCACTTGTATATTTTTATTCATAGTCTTTCGAGGTTTGCTTTGTTATCTTCCACATAACACCTAATTATTTTCGATATAGTTGACTTTCATTCCCTTTATGTTTAGGTGACTCATTTTACTTGTGGTAGATTTGTTGTTGGATTTAGAGTTAATCACACAATGATGGATGTTTCTGGCTTCAAAATGTTTATAAATGCATTAAGTGAATTAATTCAAGGAGCTTCAACACCTTCTATATTGCCTATATGGAAAAGGCATCTCCTAAGTGCTAGAATATCACCATGTATTATATGTACTCAATGAATTCGATGAGCAAATTGAATCAAAAATTTCATGAGAATCAATTGAAGACAAGTTGATACAACAATCATTTTTTCTCTGGAAATATGGAGATGGAAGTTATTAAAATCAAGTTCCTTCAAATTATGAATGTACGAAATATGAGTTATTAACGGCGTTTTTATGAAAATGTCGTACCATTGCTTTTGATTTGCACCCTAAAGAAATTGTTCGTTTCACGTTACTAATGAACATACGTGGAAAATCACTCAACTTTGAACTGCCACGTGAATATGGAATGCATATATTACTCCAGCTACAATATCAAAAGCGGGATTATTAT